GTATTGCTGCTATAATAAATTCTAACTGCATTTTCTCTTTAACTTTCCATTCTTCCTCTCCTGCATGATATTCAGAAAATTAAGAGAAGAAATTATTTCTCACATTTAATATAGTATCATTTCGGGTAGTATGGTTGGACCAACTTGGACGTGGGAAAATAGTTGGAGAAACACCGGTGAATACTATACCAGCGATGTACAATCCCTAAAAATGCGGTCAAATTATGAATGACATATCAACTACAAGGTACTACAATCTTGTATCAACGACATATCCTCATTTATCAACGACATATCATTTAAAAAATTCAATAAAATTGTCAATATGTCAACGATGTATCATTTATTATTCGGTTTTTCTCTTTCTATAATATTAATTTTAAAGTGTTTACCACCATGGTGTAATGTTATCAAGAGCTTACATATGAAGAAAATTTTCTTTTACCGTAACTTAGTATGGTTTTGTGGTAATCTCCTTCGCTTGTAGATGAGAGGGCTTAAGTTTGAACCAAAGTATTATTGTCATATCCCTAAACAAAATGTATTCGTATATGGTATGGCAAGGGTATACTCAATTTGTACGTTATTTAAAAACCTAATTCGTTATAAGAAATTATGAAAAGATAGACTGCATTGTGTATAGACAAGTCGGGATTGTTTCCTCAATACATGTATTTTCCTTTTCTATTATTTCTTTTAACACGAGAGGAGGTAGGAACCATTTTCTATTTATGAGGTGTAGGACCAACAAGTTTATTCATCTCAAAAAGGATATAATGTTGGATCCTGTAATATTCAACTTGACAAAGAAATTATTTACATGATAAAATATGTATTACAAGAGCTATATCTCAGTTAAGTAGAGCAATTTTTTGCACACGCCAAATTTTTTCAAAGGAATCTCCGTCATGTAATAAAAAAAAAGATTTGATCTTATTGAGAATTTGATCTCATACTCTATGACTTTTTAGGGAACAAAACCGATGGCTTTGAGTTTGACTCCGATCTATTTTTTGCTAGGTATTGCGGTGTTGCCCTCTTTACTTAGAGCAACTCCACCGTTGCAAATGCCCCTTAGGGCAAGTCATTATTGAATAGCCTCCAATGAACAGTAACTGCCTTTTACATCTCCACCCTTACATTGAATAGCCATGACAATAGGCAATAAAATATTAGTATTTTTTATTTTATAAATTAATACAAAATAATTTTATTTGTAATTTTAGATAAGATTTTTAATTGTTCTCGTTGCGCCATGTGTCATTATCCGAGAAGACAATTTTTTGTGATAGATTTCGATAAGATATTTATCCAATGTCATCGTGCCACGTGTCGTTACCTTTTCAAAATCGTTGAGTATAGATTTCCGATAAGATTTTTAACCAATCATGTCGCGCCACATGTCACAATCTGAAGACAATCTTTGAGGATAGATTTCGATCAGATTTTTAACAAATGACAGCATGCCACGTGGCATTATCTACAACATAATCCTTTCTTTTTCCTCCATATAACCCACCATCCAGAACCAGAAATCACACACCAAAATCAAAATCTCTATCATTATTCATAATTTCTTATTCCTTCTTCACCAAAATTAAAATCTCTATCATTATTCATAGTTTCTGCTTCCTTCTTACAATGTCTTCTTTTTCAAGGATGTGGGAAATTGAGGAGCAAGAGCAAGAATTGTTTAAGTAAGGGGAAGAAATGTTCAATCTCCAGGTGGCCCAAAATGAGATGGAAGACAAAGAGGATGAGGAGCGTAGAAGGAGAGATGACGAAACAAGAAGCCAAAGAGCCTCACATTCTCGTCGAGTCATCCAAACTGTGGCTCAGATCTGCAGGCCCAGCCGTTCCGCAAACCTTGATAAAAGCAAGCAACGATGAGGTATGAATCTCTTGAACAATTATTTTGTCTGTAACAGTGCATTCCCTAATACGTACTTTAGATGTCGTTTTAGAATGAAACGACATTTGTTCAACAAAATCATGATTACTGTTTGCAACCATGATTCTTACTTTGTGCAAAAGAATGATGCTTTTGGTGTTATGGATCTTCTTCCTGAGCAAAAAATTATTGCTGCCTTGCGGATGCTTGCATATGGAGCATCTGTAGAGCAAGTGGATGAGATAGCGATGATGGGGAAATCAACCATTCTTGAGTCCCTGATGAGGTTTTGCTCTGCAATTGAATCTTTCTACACTGCAGAGTACCTCTAGAAACCTTCTGAGATGGACTTGCAAAGGCTTCTGAAGAAGGCCGAGATGCGAGGTTTTCCTGGGATGTTGGAACCATCGACTGTATGCATTGGACATGAAATTTTTTTCCAAGTGCATGGCAAGGAGCTTATAGGGATAGAAAATGAGCAAAAAGTATCATTTTGGAGGTGGTGGCATCATTTGATACATGGATTTGGCATGCTCTTTTTGGTGTTCTGGGGGCTCAAAATGACCTTAATGTCCTTACCCAATCCCCAGTGTTCAACGATGTCCTGCAAGGAAAAGCACCAAGAGTCACATACTGGGTCAACGGACATAAGTACCACGGGCCATACTACCTAGCAAACGGAATTTACCAAAGGTGGTCATCATTTGTCAAAACAGTGCCACGTCCGTAAAGTGCAAAGGAAAAACACTTTGCAAGCTATCAAGAGGGGTGTAGGAAAGATGTGGAGTGTTGTTTTGGTATCCTCCAAGCTCGTTGAGCGATTGTCAAGGGTGCTGCCATAATGTTTGATTTAGAGTCACTTCGATCCATCATGATGACGTGCATCATTCTTCACAACATGATTGTGGAAGATGAGTACAATTATGATGTCGTTGATGAATATGAGCCAGACACGATAAACAATTCCAGAACACAAATATATTGTGCTCATGACGCCACCAAAGAACCCGTGCAACACGAGCCATTACAAAGGGATGGACGTTACAATGAAAGGCTCATTCAATGATATACTGCAATTCAGGACCCATATATGCACAATGCTCAGCAAATTGACTTGATAGAGCACCAGTGGGAATTGAAACAAGCTCAAGATACTTAAGTTCATTTAGTGTGTTTGTTTTTATTTGGTGTGTTTTTTAAGTTCATTTAGTGAGTTTTTTTTTTAGTGTGTTTGTACTTTTATTTGGTATGTTTATGTAATTTTATTTGGTGTGTTTAAGTCCTTTGAATAAAGATTCTCTTATTTTAAATAAATTACCAAATTAAATAAATATACTCTTAGTTTAAATAAAGTACTAAATTCAATAAATTGGAAACAACATAAAGTACTCTATTCAATAAATAAGAAATTACAACCCAAAGTGATTGGAAAATTATGGGCTCCGATTAAAAACAAATTCCCTAGTCCCTTGTTAATGGAAAATCATCACCTAACCAATTTGTGGTTCTAGGATCATCTCCTCTTGTGGTGCTAGGACCATCTCCTCTTGCTCTCGCTTCCCTTGCATGCCTCATTCGCACCACGTCCACCTTCTCCAAATTCCAAAAATATTTAGAATTCAGTGACTTCCCCTCTAAAGGCTCCTTCATAATATCACGATCTTGTTGAGCCCTTCTTTCTTCTTTAATCTCTTCCCTTTCTTGCCTAAGTAGCTCTCTTTCTCTCTCATTAGATTGAAATAATCTCTCAGCAGCTGCAACTTTTGCGTCCTTTCTAGCCTTATCAGCCTCAAATTTAGCTATTTCCTAAGCCAAAGTCAATTCACCTTGGCGAGCAAGTTCTTCCATATATTTTGCATAATCATTCTTAGAAGCATTCCCTTCTCTCTTTGAAGACTTCTTACCTTGAGGCCTAATTGGATAATGGGAAGACCCCGACACTTGTTCAGGGGCGTTTTCGGCACTTCTTCTGCGTCATCTTCATGAACATGCGAGGCATGATCAGGCGTAGAGTGTAGAGGAGTGCTGTTCATGACAACTTCTGGACCGACAGGCACAATTCTGAATTTAGGACAATCTTTGACAATATTCCAACATTCCCACCGGTTGAATGATTTGTTTTTTTTTTTTTTTGCATTATACCAAGCTTGTGCTTGAAGTGTCTACACAATGCGGGAGAAGAAATAATTATAATCAAAGTAGCTAAGGTAAATTTGGGTATAGTACAAAGAAATAAATAATATATAGTTACCTGATCCGCTAAATTTTCCCCACTTCGAAGATTACTACTAACTTGTGTCAAGGCTTCTCTCCACATACTAAACGATTGGCTAAGTATTCTCCCACGACTGGACATCAATTCTTTGGTTTTTTTTCCACCAATTTTCTCAAGATAATTGGTATGAATAAGACTCCACATTTCTCGCAACTGCATCTCATAACCTGTAATCAGATCATGAGTAACTTCAACCCAACTAGAACACAACGTAACATCTTCAATAAGCGTCCAATTTGTACCTGCATCATTAGTCATTTTGTTGGAAACCAATTGGATTGAAACTTTGAGAGAAAGATTGGAATATGGTTGAAAGTATTTGAGAAAATATGAAATTGTGGTGTAAGGTAGATGATAATGAAAATGTATTTATAGAAAAGTAAAATCTTTTTTTTTTAATTTTTAAATTTTTTTTCAGATTTTTTATTAATTTATAACATTTTTATTCACATAATTAATTTATGCCGTTGGATTAAAAAAATTGAAACCCAACCCTCCAGATTGTGCCACGTGGCACAACGGTAAAATTTCAAAATTTTTTACTGTTTTTTATTCTTTTTTTTTAATTTATAAAGACGAATAACATGGACCGTTGATTTCAAATTCAATGGCTGAAATTAAAGAAAGTTTGAATTTTTTTTTACCGTTGGAAATCCAATGGTTCACAAAAAGTAATCGTTGAAATCCAACAGACACGAAGGTGCCACGTGTCCCAGCCAATGGTAACCTTTCAGAATCTGCGTCGCAGGCCCCACATTTGAAAACATGTCAGAGACGCGCCCCCATGCGTGCTTGAAGTGCACGTGCATGACGCGAAAAAACAAAAACAAAAACATGGCTAATGTCGCCCTAACGTCAGCATTGCATCATTTCCATCTCGGGCTCTCGGGCCAGCGATTCATGTTTGGCTTGTCGCTTGAGCCCCCTCTGGCGCTGAAGCCCGCATGGGTTGGACTTGATCGCCCCAGCGATTTGGTCGTCTTTTGTCCACGGTCCATCGGGCTAAAGGCCCCGCTGGACTTACTCTTAACCAAGACGAAGCAGCATATGTTGCATCATCTGCTACTTACTAATAGTCTAAAAGCACTGCAAATCTGCACGTTTCAATCCATTGAATGGGACCGATATTCAAAATATTAGTGTACTCAAAACTAAATACACTGCCCCATTTGGTGGTAGGATGAGTTATTTCAATTAAACTGAACGTGTAGCCCAATGTTTGGTGAGAAAAATTGTAACACGGATTGGATTGGCTACAAATCCAAAATAAGAGAAAATATGATGGGTTATGTAACCCAACCACACACATGGATTATGTGACCCATCCCTGCTAATTCAATCATATCCCTAGTGTCCAATCTCATTCAACCCACCAAATGAGAGACTTGTACTATGATCCGGCGTATATGACGCTCCGTATCTTTTAAGGGTTAAACTTTTGGTGAAAAACTGAGATTCAAGTTCAACTGGTTAAAATGTGCGGAATATCTCGAAGAGGATTTTTGATACATAGGTTCACAGGTTTTTTGCAGTTTCTGCATGCTTTAAATTGTGCTATGTCATTGGTAGATAGAAGAGTTATGACGAAATATTAAGTCTTCCCTAATATCGTTCGCGTTTGAAGCAATGCATGATCTGCGACGTACATCTCTTGCACCTATAAGTAGCAATGTATTACATTTTAATTCAACTAAAGTTACATCCATGAATATTATGTAATTGTAAATGAGGATTAGTTTTGAGACCCACTTCACATTGAATTTCAACATCCGAAATCGTTTGCATATTTAATTATCACAATGAAATTTCAATGTTTCTTAGAAATTAAAGTGTGTGTCAATTTCTTTGAATTCAATTAAATGCCTTAAATATTTCTAATTTAGCTAATATCTTGCAATGATGATCTATGATGTGCAACTTAAAAAATAGATGGTTCGGATGGTTAAAGTCCGATGTGGTGTGAGCCCAACAACTATTCCCCATTTTTATAAGAAAATGGAGATCCCTTCTCATTTTTATATATCAATAGTTTCATTAAAGAATAGTTTGTTAAAGATAAATAGAGAGTAATGTTTTCTTATCATCGTTATGTTTATATTGGTAAAATGTGAATTTGGACAACAGTCTTTGTATTATGTTGCTTACCAGGGCCGGCCCTAGCCCAGTGCCACAAGGGCAACTGTCCAGGGCCCAAAAATTAAAGGGGCACCAAATAATAAAACCCAAATAACTAGGTATAAAAAAAAAAAATTACTAGAGCCCAATTTTCAAATAGGGGGACGGCCTAAGATTGACAACATATTAAAGGGGCCTAGGTTTTATGCATTAAAAAAAATTATAAAAAAAAAAGTTATATACAGGGACCACTCTTGGTCCCATAAACCCTAATTTCTAACCCTTTTCCCGATTCCCCCACACACCCCCTCCCTTTGTTCCCCAATCCCCACTAACTTCCAACCTTTTCCCAATCCCCCATCCCCTTTGTTCCCCAATCCCTTCCCCACCGCCACTTCCCCTGTGCCTTTGCTGCACTGATGTGAGTGAGCAGGCAGGAGACAGCACAGCAGGAGACAGCACAGCAGGAGCCAGGCCTCCTCCTTATTCTCAACGTGACAGCACAGACAGCACCATTTATTTGGGTATTGAAATTTGACTACAAGTGCATTCATTCATCACCAACCATTTTGAGTTTTGAGGTAACTAATTTTTAAAATTTGAATTATCAATTCATAATTTAATATAAAACGTTGTAAGTGACATAGAAATATAATTATATTATAATTGATGTATATAATTGTTGTTGTGGATGAATTGAATTCTTGATTAATTGAATTATTTGATTTCATTTTAAACTCAATATTTAGGTTCAATTTTATCAATTTGTATATGTTAGACTATGTGTTAGTGTTTTTATAATATATAATATATGTTGGAATGATAATTTTGATAGGAAATTTTTGTTATATCATGTGTAGGTAATTTTTGCAAACAAATTATCGAATCCATGTCTTTTAGGAAACAACTCTCTGGTAATATGAAAAGGAAAAAAAAACAAAGGATAACGAAATTGCCGAAAGTTTAAGAGGATCTCTTAATAAATTTTTCTCTACAAAGAATGAGTCGGTTGAAAATTTGAGAGAAAATATGATGTTAGTGAAAAGTCACAAAAATGTTGTTGGGGAGTCTCATGATCATGAAATTGGTGGTTATGATGGTGGTGATTTAAAAGAAAATGTTGGTGATGAGTCTCAAGACCATAAAAATGGTAGTGATTTAGAGGAAAATGTTGGTGATGGGTCTCAAGACCATGAAAATGGTGGTGATATAGATTTAAATGTTGATGATGATCATGTTGGTGTAGAGGAAAATATTGAATCTCCCGAACCTACATTCCATTTAAACATTTATGATCCAAGAATTTGGGATGATCTTAATGCAGAAATGAGAGCCTTATTTGTAGAAAATGGACCAATTCGAGAAACTAATCTCACTTATCCTAAGGACAAACTCTCTAGAAAATTTTCCTCACACTACTATGATCGAAAATTACCAACGGGTGAAATTTATGATAGGAAATGGCTCGTGTACTCAAAAGAGTTGGATAAAATCTTTTGCTTTTGTTGTAAATTGTTTAAAACAATTACCTCAAAAAGTGAGTTAGCAAAAGATGGAATTAGTGATTGGAGACATCTTGGTGTGAAGCTTGATCAACATGAAAAGAGTAAAGAGCATCTCACTAATTCGAGAACTTGGGTTGAGTTGAAAAGTAGATTTTCTTGGTATGAAGCTTGATCAACATGAAAAGATGGAATTAGTGATTGGAGACATCTTGGTGTGAAGCTTGATCAACTTGGGTTGAGTTGAAAAGATGGAATTAGTGATTGGAGACATCTTGGTGTGAAGCTTGATCAACATGAAAAGAGTAAAGAGCATCTCACTATTATGTCCCCCCGTTGTATATTTTCTCAAGTAATATAATTTGGGCGTGAGGGCCTAGCTCCCCAGCTTCGACTGGGTTCCAGCTCTCGTTAAATATATTTTTTTAAACATATGTTTTCGTAATAAAAAAGGGCACATTTTGAGTTTTCGCACCGGGCACCCAAGAACTCAGGACCGGCCCTGTTGCTTACACAAAAAAATCTACAAGTCACATATTGCACGCATATAGTAAAGTTAGGTCCTAACTACGGGAAGAGGATCCTCGCCGGATCCTCTTTGTGAGAATCTCGAGAATCCTCCAATCACATTCACTCATCGTACATCGTGCGGTCAATTTTTATCAAGTATTGTTTATATTCAATTTTAAATAAAAAAATTTAAAATGATTTTTTACCGCACAATATACGATGAACGGATGTAATTGATGGATCTCTGGGATCATCTCTCCTAACTACAGTCTTTGAAACCGGGTGAGATGAACTATGTGGAAAGCACTGCCCTTCGGCCAATCCTTTTCAAGTACGGCGTTAAAATCACCGGAAAAGGTTAATGAGGATTTAGTGACATGCAACAAAGGCCGGGTTTGAGAATACTGATTTGGTTGGTTAGGTTGATACATTTTTTTTAATAAACCCTTGTATTTACATAGAGGAACTTTTTTAGTGGTTGTTGGAAGCTACAAATTAAGTAGAAGAACATTTACACCGCTTGTGCAAAAGTTTAAATTTCGACACTCTCATTTGAACACGAACGAAGGCTTTGAACCACCTTGCGCGTCTAGAACTTCGAAGGTCGTTGGATTGGCTACTGTACGTCGAATTTCTCCTTTGTTCTCCACCTCTCAAAACCTAGGGATGTGGTGATTGCCCTAAAGACCTAAATAAAATATTGTGAACTATGAAAAGCTTGTATTTTCTTTTATATTTCTCTCTTCCCAAATCGCCCAAAGAAATCCCGAGCATATTCCAATCTGAATCTCTCTTGATTTTCCTCTAATTATACAAAGATAATTAGGAGATATTATATCAATCCATCACCTTAATTTGGGTGAATTAATATTTGATTTATTTATCAAATAAAATCCTACTTCTCCCACTCACCTACACAGAGTGGCATAATCTCAATCAAACCATATAGTTCACATCCAGTCTAGTCTATCCCCTTATATAGAAAATGAGACTCGCAACCTTGCGAGAAAAGAACGTATATATCCAAGAGCACTGTTATTAAGCTATCACCAAACTAACAAGAGTGCATCACTCGGAAGGTCATCTTTATAGCCCAGACTCTCTTCGTAATACACAAACTTGACATTATTTATCTCTCATTTTGAAATAAAAAGTAATGTCATGTTTCACAAGTATCAAATATCTATGTCTGATTTTTAATAACAAAACATCATGTATCAAGTAGTTTCCAAAAAAAAAAAAAACATCATGTATCAAGTATTAAGTATCATGTATCCATCTAGACCAACGAGAAATTTCTTTTCCTTCTAACGTTTCTAGATCGATGTGCCCGACTCTTTTTTTATGGTTCGACTTAGTCTAATTGAATTTCGATCCGGAGAGAATTTTCTCTTCGATCTGGAGAGATTTTTCTGTGTGATCGGTACACGGGATGGTATTACGTGTCACAATAAATTATGAGATATGTATGCTAAAAAGTTAATAACTTAAAAAATAAAATTTCCCATCATTCCTATTAAAACACATGGTGTACTACTTGTGTTCCCGTCACAACTAAAAATTTCTCTTCGATGAGAGATCATGCTTTTGTCATTTCAAATGAATAGCTGTTTGAAAAAATATTTTATTTTAAGAGAATTGTTATTAACACTCCAAAAATCTCATTATACACTCCAAACTTTTTATATTAAAAAAGAAAAATACACTTGTGAGGAGTGTAAAATGAGATTTTTGAAGTGCCAATAACACTTCCCTATTAAGGTTATGTGCCCCCTTTTATTTTCCAAGATTTATACGATTGATTAGTTGGTTTTGTACAGTTTCTGCATGCATTAAATTGTACTATGTCATTGGTAGATAGAAGAATTATGGTGCAGTTTCTGCATGCATTAAATTGTGCTACGTCATTGTGCTATGTCATTAGTAGATAGAAGAATTATGACGAAATATTAAGTCTTACCTAATATCGTTCGCGTTTGAAGCAATGCATGATCTGCGACGTACATCTCTTGCACCTATAAGTACCAATGTATTACATTTTAATTCATTAATGTCCCACACAAATATGGGAGGCAGAAGTGACACAACACTATATTTTGACTAAAGTTACATCCATGAATATTATGTAATTGTAAATGAGGATTAGTTGTGGACTCATTTCACATCGAATTTCAACATCTAAAATTGTTTGCCTATTTAATTATCACAATGAAATTTCAATGTTTCTTAGAAATTAAAGTGTGTGTCAATTTCTTTGAATTCAATTAAATGCCTTAAATATTTCTAATTTAGCTAATATCTTGCAATGATGATCTATGATGTGCAACTTAAAAAATAGATGGTTCGGATGGTTAAAGTCCGATGTGGTGTGAGCCCAACAACTATTCCCTATTTTTATAAGAAAATGGAGATCCCTTCCCATTTTTATATATCAATAGTTTTATTAAAGAATAGTTTTGTTAAAGATAACTAGAGAGTAATGTTTTCTTATCGTTATGTCTATATCGGTAAAATGGGAATTTGGACGACAGTTTTTGCCTTATGTTGCTTACATAAAAAAATCTGCAAGTCACATATTGCACGCATACAATAAATTTAGGTCCTAATTACGAGAAGAGGATCCTGGACAAATCCTCTTTGTGAGAATCTTGAGAATCCTCCAATTATATTCGCTCATCTTACATCGTGCTGTCAATTTTCATTAGATATTGTTTATATTCAATTTTAAATAAAAAAAATTTACAATAATTTCTGACCGCACAATGTATGATGAACGAATATGATTAGAGGATCCGGCGAGGATCCTCTCCCCTAACTACGGTCTTTGAAACCGAGTGAGATGAACTATGTGGAGAGCACTGCCCTTCGGCCAAACCTTTTCAAGTACAGCGTTAAAATCACCGGAAAAGGTTTATGAGGATTTAGTGACATGCAACAAAGGCAGGGTTTGAGAACGCTGATTTGGTTGGTTAGGTTGATACATTTTTTTTAATAAACCCTTGTGTTTACAGAGAGGAACTTTTTTAGTGGCTGTTGGAAGCTATAAATAAAGTAGAAGAACGTTTATACCTCTTGTGAAGAAGTTTGAATTTCAACACTCTCCTTCGAACACAAACAAAGGCCTTGAACCACCTTGCACGTCTAGAACTTTGAAGGTCGTTGGATTGGCTAAGGAATGTCGAATTTGGGTGGATTAATATTTAATATTATATCAATCCATCAACTTAATTTGGGTGGATTAATGTTTGATTTATTTATGAGATAAAATCCTACTTCTCCCACTCACCTACACAAAGTGGCATAATCTTAATCAAACCATATAGTTCACATCCAGTCTAGTTTATCCCCCTATATAGGAAATGAGACTCGCAACCTTGCGAGAAAAGAACGAATATATCCAAGAGTACTATTATTAAGCTATCACCAAACTAATAGTGCATCACTCAGAAGGTCATCACTTTATACTCCAGACTCTTCGTAATACACAAACTTGACATTATTTATCTCTCATTTTGAAATAAAAAGTAATGTCATGTTTCACAAGTATCAAATATCTATGTCTGATTTTTAATAACAAACATCATGTATCAAGTACTAAGTATCATGTATCTATCTGGACCAACGAGAAATTTATTTTCCTTCTAACGTTTCTAGATCGATGTGCCCGACTCTGTTTTTGATGGTTCGACTTACTCTAATTGAATTTCGATCTGGGGAGATCATGCTTTTGTCATTTCAAATGAATAGCTGATTGAAAAAATATTTTATTTGAAAGGTATTTAAGGTCATGTGCCTCCTTTTATTTTCACAGATTTATATAATTGATCTCGATATGTTGTCAAGATTTAATTAATGGAAACTTTAACGAAAAGCATCCGGTACTGTTCACTTTAACGAAAAACCATATTTTTACACTAAAAAGTCAATCCTGGTACTATTCACTTTACCCTTTATTTTGTCCTTATCATTAAAACTCAAAGTTTTCAAGCCCTTTTCATTAATTTTCCTTTAATTAATATGTTGTCCAAATTCTATCAAGATGTCCTCAAGAAGGCATCAAGGCTTTCGTGGTTCTGTCGAGATACCGTCAAAAGGGTGTTGAAACTTAGTTAGGAGTATTTTAGGAAAAGAGGGTTAGTAGAGATTATAAATTTGGAGCAAGACTATTTTTAATTGATGGGTTTGTAATAAGCTTTTAGATTCAATTTCCCAACTAAAATACACATTCACAATATGAGAATGTAGGTCCTCCAACCATCATATGTGATCTCCTTGTGGAGGATCTTGCTTTTCCTTGTACTTTGTAGTTGGCCTGATTTTGGAATGAAATGAAATATCATCTTTTCTTCAAAAAAAAAATAATAATAATAATAATTCTAATCACATCATATTCGAGGAGTTGATTCACTTTGTTTTTTAAACCCTAATTTTTATTTATTTAATTATTCGAGCAATAGTTTACACTAAATAATCTAAGTGTGTGTGAGAGACTTTCAAGTGCCGAGAGATTGAGGCCAAATCACTAAAGCATGAATTACAAAATGTAGATACGAGGGAGTAGAAACGCACATCACACGTGCATTACAAAGGCCTAGTTGACAGGTGTGATTGCAAATTGAATCCCTCCTACCTGCAACTTTTGTAATTATCATGTATTGCATTTTAATCCATCCTATCTAAAATTTTGAAGTGTCTCCCTTTCATACTGAACTTCAATTCCTTATGTCATTTCCAATTGAAATGGCTAAATATAACCCAGTCTAGAATTATAGTTTTGTAAAAAAATTATTTTTAAATAAAAAATGTCAAATCATACTCATAACATCTCTAATCGAAAAGGCTATGTTTAATCCCTTCAATAATTTATTAGTTTTAAGTTTATACTTTAAATTTGTTGGTTAATTTAATGAAACTACCGTTGAATGTTTTCAAATCTAAATGTTAAATTTGAATCAATTGTTGCAACTAAAGAGCTGAGCCTCAAAAAGGTGCTAAGAAGGGAGCTACATTTGACCAGCATGATGCCCCTTTGGCCAAATCATTAGTTAGAGATGAGTTTTTTAACAAATCAAGTCATTTTTTTAGCTTTTTGAACCTAGCCCTTTCCATTAGAGATGGGTTTAGGACAAAAATTTCTAACCCAAACATAGCCGAAAGGATTACAATTTTATAATCTTGTGAAGATGTGTGAATGAATTTCCTTTGCCTTTTATTTCAAAGAATTCAAGTAATTCATACTTATGAAAAATATACAGCCGGTTCCACCTCAATGAAACTTTAGAACGTAAAAAAATAAAATCAATAAAAAGATCGTACCCAGTGCACAAGGCTCCCCGCTTTACGCAGGGTCTGGGAGAGGTGAATGTCGGCTAGCCTTACCCCCATTTATGGAGAGGCTGCTCCCAAGTCTCGAACCCGAGACCTACCGCTCATGGGCGAAGGCACTTGCCATCGCACCAAGTACAAAAAAAATATAAATCACCATTGCTACTAAAGTACAAGTTTATGCTACATTCGGAGCGTAGCATATAAGAGACCCTATAAAAAACTTATATGATACACCAGGGTTTCTTGAGCTACTTCAAAATTCCAAATGACAGGTTTCTTACCTTCAGTTAGGCACCCACAAGGTTTCCCAAGAGAGACTTCTCATTTCGGGCGTGACCAGTGGGTCCCACAGCTGGAGGTGCATGCACGGTGATTGGCAGAACCCACTCGCTTTTGTCTCTACCCTCTATAAAAAGAGGATGCTCGTACCTGGAGCAAAAAGAATCCAGGATTTTGGAAACAGCTGAAATTAGTACATCCTCTGGTACATTGACATTAATTAAATGCAAATACAATAGGTTTATTAGGAATGTTTGACTGGCACTTGCTGTAACCTTATCTTCTTAAAAATAAAAATATAAGCAATAATACATGTACACCCTGGTGCGGGCTCAATCCCCCCACCCCAAACATTTAACAAGTTAACCCAGTAACGCTATTGTTTGTCCAAAAAAGAAAAACTGCATACTAATAAGCACGAAAATAAAAACTCATAAATCCTGAACTTAGCATGACAACCTCTTGCAGCAGTTTAATCAATAGGTCAGAAATAAGAAGCTTATGAATGATTCCACATGGTCGGTCATACCTGGTCCAATCCACATTCTTCGGAGTGGTAAAAAATTCAAATCGAAGTTCCCATTGTACAGAAACATGGGGAGTGGAAAAAGACATAGGCCCATCCATGGGAATGGAGAAAAGAAAACTTGTCTGCACCAAGTCCGCAACAACCTCATAATGATCACTCTGGATCTACAAAATTAAATAAGATCCGTCAAGCATAACAAAACAAAATCATTAAAATATGTAACCAGTAAAAATCCTTCATAACCTAACATCTGATTGATTCTCTGCCATTACTCTATAATCAATTAAATTAACCAGGATTAATAAATGGAGCAATGTGGTTTTATTGACCAATATGCAAAGTTCACAACATGATTTGATAAAATGGTATACAAAGCTCAAAATATGAAAGGTTGGTTTCTACGGTGAAACAAGTGTAGAGAAGACCGACCTCTGTACATGATTGCATGTACCCTTAAATAAATCAGAGAGGAAAGTAAACATGGTAAATTTGTTTTGGTTTACGATGATTTATATCCATTACATGAGCTTCTGTAATTGCTTTATTTCAAAGATATTGCCTGCCTTCCTCATTTGTAAACAGTTATAATATGGAAAGAAGAACCAGCAGTCCAATTAAAAGGTTAGTAACCTCTCATTTGAAAATTAAATACAAGAAACTAGCAGTAGTTCTTTCCAAGGTGCATTTGCATTGAAAGTACAGATGAAATTACGCTGCGTTCCTTTCCAAACTTCCTATTTTTCATTTCTTTTTCGTTTCTTATATTAATATAAGAAATACAGCATAGCACCCCTTCTTTACACACTCCAGCATTCATATTACATCCAAAAACTCAATCCAAAGTTGATGACCAAACAGAAAATATACAACCCCCCACAACTTTGATTCATGTGTGAACCATTACCCATCAGAACCTACTTTGCTTAACCGCTATTATTAAAAGGTATTTTGTAGCAAACTATGTCCCTAACTTTATACAACATAGTGCAGAGTTAACACGAATCAAATGAACATCATCAAAGAGAACCACACAGAACAACCCAAGCCTTCTACAGACCAAAGATTTCATTATTAAATATTTTATCAAAGTCTGATTCAAGTACAATGAAACGTGATAATGGCTACTGAAGTCACCCTTTCAGAGTTGGCCTAACATTTCAAACATATTTCCTAAGCACATAGAAGGACCGTCTTCAAACTGAACAAAACACTTTTAGATCTGTAGAAACTTCTCAATAGCCCTAGAAAAAGCTTGATTATGAGAACATCAACACCCAATCAACTCAAAATCTTGTGGTTGTGAATAAGACCTCAAACGAGAGCACATTCTTTCCAGGTTTTGGAAGCAATTTCCATTTCAGGGTTGTTTGTGGTTTTTGAAAGATACACCTAATTCACATCCCAAAATCAATTTTTACCCATTATTAATTCCCCATTCCTGTATCTTAGGGTCTGTGTCAACTGCATGTCAAAACCTACATAGAAAAAGAACAAAACTAATCCCAGATACTAGAAGCTATTGATGTTAACTCTTAACAACTGTTCCTTAAAACTTCAATAAATTGGCATATGTTTAGGTATGGTTTTGAAGCACTTCTCATTCAATTGATAGCTAGAAATAAAAAAAGTCATACCTTTGTAATTGTGGGAGAATTCCTCCGAGAAGGATGCACAAAGCGCCGGCTAATAGTTTCTGAAATCTCCAATGTTATAGAAACCTGAAAAACAGAGCCAGGCAGTGATATCTGTAAACCTTTTCCAAACACCATAATTGATTTCAATATTACTTCTAAATTGCATCTACCTCAAGGCATCTTCTAGCTCCTTCTTCATGAAAGAAAGTAAGAGTTCCACCAATCTATTTCCATGGAGAGATAGAGAACATTCACAACTACCAGATAAAGAAAATGATGCAAAACAGGCAGACGAGAAACTATAAACAAACGAAATTACCATATCACTGAGGTAATAATTGGAATCAGAATTTTTTGGGGAACATCTAAGCAGAACTCGGTCATCCAGCCGGATATTGTATGACCTCCCTCGAATGAAGCCCTCTGCTGCAGAAAATATTCACAGAAAATTAGTTTTCAAGGACTCATTACAAAAACAGAAACAATTGCATCGAAGATGTATAAGAAGAATAAGAAGTGCAGTAATTTACATGCTAAGGTTTCAACTGCTCCAGATGCTGGTGAAGAAGATGGCCTTGCTTCATCATCCAAAGAAAGTTGCTTTGTGAGATTCTGCTGCTGGCTTGGAGAGCCAATAGCAGATGAAATCAGGGGCAATGAAAGATCTGTTTGACAAAGTCATTTGCCAATTAGAAGGCTAAACTTCTGACAAGTATCTTGTAAGGAAATACAAAATGGAATTGGACTCTCAATGAAATGAATATCGAAGAGGTTAGAGAGTTAGTGGTAGAGGTAGTGGGATTGGAATGGGAGTTGGAAGTGGAAGTGAAAGGAAATTCTGAACAAATGCCAATAGTAATTGAACAAAATAAAAGGGAACAGAAACAATGACAATAACTCAGCAAAATGGTTGAAATAACACAGAAACAATTCTGGAAATGAGCACAGAAAATAGCAAGAACAGAACATAGGACTTGAAGCTTTTTCTAGGTGGTCATAGAACTCACTAGCACCAGTATCGTATAAGACTTCAGCCATAGAGAGCCGTGGGATTGCAAGATTTGAAGATAAACTTGTACGTTCTCCTTCAATATAGACATTATCCTTATTTGAAGACCGTTGGGACTGCAAGGATAGTGAACTTCCGAATGTTCTGTTTAAATGTTCTTTCATGGGATTGTATGAAGAAACGGATGAGATCTCATCCCTTGAGCTTTCATACCCTTCTTCAACCCCATCATATGTTTCGTTTGCTTTCACCTGTAAGATGAATTAGTTCACCTTATTAATGATAAAATGGATGAGTAAATTTGTTATTTTGAAACTCAAGAGACAAATATTGCTGAAATAGGGAACTCTATAATGACTTTGCATGCCTGAAAATTCCTAGAAACATATAAATGAAGAAAGACATTGTGGTAATATGAGCATACCCAATCAGAGTCCCCATCCATCTCTTTCCAATACATATCCATTTGGATGGTTACAGAAGGTACAATCCCTGTAAACACATAATTGACAGATATATCTCAAAACAGTATCCAACATGCATAGACTATTATTTCAAAACATGTATATCAAACCAAAATGGATATATCTAAAAACAGAAAAATTTATTAAAATGATTAAGATGCAGGAACTCGAAAATAAGACAGAGTTTAGTGTAGACTACACTTCACTGGTACAAGGATAATTACTTGAGAAAAGACGAAACTGTATTATAAGAGCAGTATCCAAGGGCTTGTCTATTGCCCAAAAGAACTTGAATTGCGACATTTACATACCGTAACACAAATTAATTACTACTCTTACACAATTGACAGAGATCTTACCTACATTAAAGAAATTGGCACAGGAATCTTTACTTTTTTTTCTAAAATTGATTCTATCACATCACCAAGTTGACAGTTCTAATTTATTGTAATGCTTTCATTTAATAAATACAATTAGTGTTGTACTTTTATGCGCAAACGGAAGCGAATTCTAACATTCTTTATGCGCAAACGGAAGCGAATTCTAACAAAGTACCAATATCAACGTTGTAGGTGAAAGCTAAAACAAACAATCTCAAACTAACACAAGAGATTTACGTGGTTCGGCGTAAAGCCTACGTCCACGAGCGAAGCACGACAAGGAATTTCACTAAACAAACTGAGATTACAAAGAGTATTTAAACTCTCACAACCCAAATCCCACAAATCACAAACCCTAAACCAAACAAGTAGAGAACTCAAACAAATGGAGAAGATTCTCCCAAATTGCTCTCTAACTCACAAACTCACAAATTGACTCTCACCAAATTGCCACACGAATGAGCCACACAAAATACACTAACCCTAAGGTCCTATTTATAGTGCATAGGACTTAGGTTACAATAAGAATCCTAATAGGAAATAAATCCAAATCCTAATCAAATAGGTAATTAACAAAATCTCTCCACCAAGGAAACTAACTAAGAAGTCAAAACCAAACCCAAATAGGACACCAAAACCAAATAGGTAACACAAACCTAATTTATTGCATCATCCTAATTTTGAGTCAAAAACCCAACAATTAGTACAGAAGATGCCATGTAATAACATAGAGCATCCAATAAGGCTCTCATAAATGATCTACGATGAATAAGAAGCTCAATTCCAATATATTTTCCAAGTCTGATGCATGAAATACTATGATTTACTTATGATCAGAATTACTCATTTCAGCTTCAATTCAGCTTCAAAATTACTCATTTCAGGCTGAAATTATTTATTTCAAGCCATATCTTGAACCTAAAAAGCTTCCAAGAGAAAAGCAGTGACACACAGGTTTACATCCCAGAGTAACAAAAATAAAGGAAAAACTTACCATCTGTAAGACCTTCCATTCCCAATCCACTGGTTTTCTGAGTGACCCATACTAGTACTGGAACACGAGCTTCCTGGATGTTTAAACTTGATGAGGTCACACATCAAAATGTGGACATATCACCTCAATATAGAAAAAGAAGACTAGCATGTACAGGAAGAGGTATTTTTACCAATATCTACCTAAGTACAGATTCACACTCACACGTGAACACAACTCTCTATGTATATTTACATATGTATGACATAAGCACATGTTTGATAATGACAACCACGGATGCAAAATGTTGATTATGTTTAAAACAGAATCTGGATGAAAATATAGAGCATATGATTACTGCATATACTGATAACTACAGATAAGCCCTTGGAATATTTTTGACCAGATTCCGTTCTTATAATTGATTAGTGAATAGTCCGAATGTACCATTCAAATTTAGCAAAGAATGCTTCAGAGAATGTATCACAAGGATAATTGACAAGCCCAATTCTTTTTCTTTTCCCGTTCCCTCCAAATGTGAATATTTTTTTCATGATCAAATTGACAAGCCCATTTCTCAATCAACATTATCATGTATAAAGTTTGTTAAAGAACAAAGTTTATCAGGGTGAAATACAAGCACGCTATGATATTCAGAGGCAGAAAATATAATAATACAATAAAGCAGTGCCAAATCTATCATACAGGAGAACAGTCATGTCAACAGCCATCATAATAAGTCAAAGAAAACCAACCATTTCAGGAAAATCTTTCACTGATTCTCCACGAGAGTGGGCATTCTCCAATATCAGCCATTGTCCAGACATTGTACTTCTAACATAGTACATATATCGAAGGGTAGCACCTTTGTACGATGGTGGTATAACGGGGGCCAGCAACGACCGCACCACATCTGCAGAAAACATTGAATATTAACAGAAAAGAAGTTTACAGCGAAAACGATTCCAACATAAATTCTCTTCTTAAGATAAGCTAAAGCTCCATGTCACCATCCTTTCAAAATTTTATAATCAATAGATCAGGTTCATGTTACCACTCCCTTGACAACAATAAAGCACAAGCCTAAATTTGTTTAGAAATGAAACTCTTATTAATGTAGTGCTTGTAGAATGTCCTTTAACTAAGTAGCTCAGATAACCACTCCCCCAAACCCCATTCTCTCTCTCTCTCTCGCGATCTCTCTATCTCTCCTGCTTTTCAACCTTCCTAATGTGAATCTCTGGTTTATCCTTTGAGCAGATTCTCAGTTGATTAGATTGGGGATGATTACTGAACATCGTGGTTGAATTCTTAGGTAATGAGATGTAAGATTGTTGAACCCACTGCTTTATAATACTAGTCTTTGAGTTAATTTTGGCGGCTCGTTGGTTTATTACTACAGAGTACATGTTACCTTCCCTAGTTCAGTATCTTATTCATTCTTAAGACCAATCTTAACCACCTTCGATGAAGTCCATTTAGCATTCAAAAGAACAACAAAAACACTAACTATTCTAACAAATACGATAGATCGATTGATATTTCTCAATTTAAATCCTAACATCTACAACTTAAAATACACGAAAACAACGCTGCATCGAAAATTTCACAAGTCACGAACTTCACTCACATGATTTCGTACCCCCGGGTGAAACAATCTGATTGGTAACCAGGGCTGGAGTCGAGCACTCCATGAACACATATTCACCTAAACGTCTCACGTAACAAACAACACAAACACACAAGTAAATAGCCAAAAAAAGGCAATCAAATAATACAATTCGTTCAGCTTTTCTGCATTTGTTTCTACCTCTCCTCTGTCTGGATCCAGCCGTCGGTTTCTGCGTGGCGAACCACTGAGAATCGAGCTTCTCAATCCCCTTAATCTCAAACCCTAGGCGCTCGATCAAGAGCGAGTACGCCGAACCGTCATTGCTGCTAGGGTTCGAAATCTCGATGGTGATGAGGATGGGATCGCCGGGCCTGTAGACTTCCTTGTCGGTTTGGAGCTTGAGAGTCGGAAAGAGCTCGCTGGTCACTGTCTTGGCGTTCGAACCGAGGCCTCCGAAAATGGCGGATAACCTGCGCGGCAACATTTGCGTCGTTTTGACTCCGATTCTTCTTTAATCGTGGATCTTGATGGGGGAAAATCTCAGAGCTCGGAACTGTGTGGCAGTGGAGGTTAGAGTGCGGGTCGTGGAGAACGACGGTGTCTCGGTTGCTCTTTCATTGCTCTTTCTTCTTCTTCGTCTTCCTGTTTGCAGCAGAGTCACAGTCGCAGGGGACAGGGGAGTCTTTTTGGGTTTTGCTACTTTTTTTCAGTTTGGTTTTCGGTAGATGACACCGGTTCTTTTTTTCTTTTACTTTTTTTATTATTACGTGCGATTTAGATAAAATATAAGTCCTTTTAAGACATACTTTAATTCTTAGAGAAAATTCAAATGTTAGGTTCTAAACTTAATTCAACTTACTCTAATATTTAGGACAAATATATGTTTTAACCCAAAACTTCATTTCTGGAGCAAAAACTTCATTTTTGGAGCAAATTTAGGCCAGGATTTCTCCTGGATTAGTGGGGTTGCTATATATGTATTGACACACCCCGATCCTAGAATCAAGGCGTGCTGGCTATTACGTGAGTGTGATGTAACCAAAAGTGCGATGCGGAAGCAAAGGATATGAGAAATACGAAGGAATAAAAACCAACTACTAGCAGTAATACCCAACTAGCATGCTAGAGTAAGTTTAAGTGTGCAGTACACAATTTCAGAGCATAAAAACTAGACGCAGTCAAGTAGGACTATAATTAAATTACAACACCCGCAGGTGAGTCCTACATGCAGGAAGTCTGTCAGAACGCCGAAGAAAACCTCGTGAGCCACCAACTGCTAACTAGAACATAGAGGGGCGCAAAAACAAAATTGAGTGGGTCAATAAAACCAAAGTTTTCCAAAACATTTCATTTTAAACATTTCTAACCCCTCACTGTAAAACATGTATACCTTCCCAGAAAATAATATAATAATATATAAAACCTCATACGTCACAAATCACCAATCTATCACAAATCCAGGAATATGCCATGCCATAAATGTCAATAACAAAACATGGATGCATCAAAATAACAGGTGACATAATGATTCAACCGGAGACCCTGCAGTTGGTCCTGTACGGTTAATTTCATAGCTCAATATCCAACCCAGCCGGAGTCACCACGGTGACCTATACGGCACTACTCTGCACATAAGTCGGAACTACCTGAAGTAGTCTGTACGACAAGAATGGTGTAATGATATGCTCTAGTGCTTCTCTCATCAATCATCTGCGCGCGTAATCTAAGGTCACCTACTAGTCGGAACCACCTCTAGTGGTCTGTATGACTAGCATGTCCGAACCCTCTCATGGTCTGTACGACATGCACCTACTTAGATCCAAGGTGAGCGTGCGATGCGGTGAATAATATAAGCACTAACACTAGGGGTGCAGGTTATGAGCTCTCAACACAATTCACATCATCAATGATTCACATGATTAACATAAAACTCACATGTGCGTCCACAGCACCAATTCACACACATATATATATATGCATCAATATCAATTCATATAATTCATAGTATGCATGCATGGCGTTTGAAAACATACTTTCATATAAATTCAATTTCTAGGAAAATCAATAGTATATAGGTATATACTGAAAACAAAAATACCCACTCACTGGTAAGTCGATGGGTCGTAACCCCCGTGACGTCCCTGGATGCGCTCGTCCCCGGGATAGGTGTCACCTATATGCGAAACAACTATAAAAACGTTAATTAATGCACATAACCCACAATTCGAAATAACTTCTCATACGGTGCTCAATTTGGGTATATGAATATACCACATCAACCTACTCAACGTCACGGACGTCAAGAAATTTTTAGAAAAATTTTCTGAGGCCGCACGCGCCGGGAAGGGCACGGACCCACGCACGTCTTCTTCTTCCTCCAGTCGCCGGACTGGTTTCACCGGCGACGGAAAAGTCGTCGGTTTCTGGGGAATTTTTAAACCACTATAACTTCCTCATTTCTTCACCATTTTCAACGTTCTTTATATCAAAATGAAGATCTTGACGAGATGAACACATCCATACCTGTCTCGACCCCTAACTCGCCGAGGATTCACCGGAAAAAGCTTCCAAAGTTCTGGCCAAAATTGAAAAGTTCTGTTCTCTGTCCTCCGACATCCAAATCCTACCAACGACGTACCCCGAAGCTCGTGAGGACTTCCTTAAGCTCACTGTGAGCTTGAAATTCCTTGAAACACGATATTTTACGTGTGCATGAACAGTGATTTCAATATGGGTCACGGGTTCGACGAGATTTCTAAGGTTTCACGTCCTAAAATAACACCATTCAATTCAGAAGGTTAAAAGGATGAAGAATCTCACCTTATTGGCGTCGATCCGTGGTGATTCGAGGGTATTGGCCCTTGTCCGTACAATTTGAGTGGGAGAGAGTGACTGGAACGGAGAGGAGAGAGAGAGAGAGCACGGGGGAGAGAGAGAAAGGGTTCTGTGCGTGTGTGTTGTGTGGTCCACCCAAAACAAATCACCACATCATTCCCTAACCACACAATTTTACAACCCAATTTAATCTAACTTAAATATTTTTCCTAAAGTTTAGGAATGAATTTAGTCCAATAATATGCCACACACACATACCTTAATACCCGTCAAGGGTAATTCCATCATGAAAATTCCGTCATTTCATGTCCCCGATATAAAAAATCCCGGAACGGGCTGTGACATGTATTTTTTTAGTTTTATATTTATAAATTAATTGAATTCAACGGTCAAGACCTAATATAATCAAATCCAACAGTAAAAAAACATATAATGGTCCAAATTTAAATCCAACACCAAAAGTAATTAAAAAAAAAATCCTTTTATGTGTTTCACATTCTTTCATACTGTTCCACAAGTTTCATGGTGTCGGTTTAATGGTTTTTCAATATTTATTGGTATCTAAATATTTTAAAGTTAAAATGTCCATAAAATTAAATTATGATAGTCTACATAATTATTTTTTTAAATTACTTTAAGAAAAAAAAATTATTCTAAATTTATTTTTTAATAATCTCGGGCTAAAAACTTAACACATAAAACCATCTCCAACTCTTGGAATAAAACCTAAAATTTTTAGCCCAGAAAATTTAGGTTTTAATCCAAAAACAGTTTTTTTGCTCCAACCCTTCTAATCTAAAATTTTAACCCCAGATTATTAAAGAATGAATTTAAGTTAATTTTTTAACTTAACTTTAAAAAAAAAATTATGTAGGCTATGCAAAATTAATTTTATGAACATTTTGACCTAAAAATATTTAAATTCCAATAAATATTGAAAAATCACTAAATCAACACATGAAACTCATAAAACACTATGAAAGAATATGAAACATATGATAGAGATTAAAAGAATTGTAAATGGGAAGAAATGGTTTTGGAAGATGGTAGAAAGAAAAATTGGAAGAATTGTAGGAGGAAAGTGAGTTTTGTGTGGATGTTTAAACAAATACATAGATATTTATAGAGTTTTTTGGTGAATTTTTAGTTAAATAATTTTATTTAATTATTTTAACCGTTGAATTTAAATTTGAGTAATTAGAACTTTTTTTTTTACCATTAAATTTGATTATATTTAATCTCAACTGTTAGATTCAATAAATATATAAATATAAAACTAAAAAAATGTTTGAATGTGGACCATTAGATGAACCGATGGCCCAATTGATTGTGGCCACCAGATCATAAAAGAGTCGTTAGGCTCAGTTACCCATCAGACAGCCCTGTAAGGATGGGCCATATTCTTTAGGCTCCACCAAATTTTTTGGGCTAAATCTTGGAGGAAAATTGAGTTTGTTTTAGGTTTTAACACTTAACCCAATTTTAGAACAAAGGTTTGAGAGAAATGGAGGGGGAATATAATGGAAAATTTAGGACTTACTCCAAGCGTTGGAGTTGGTCCAATGGTTAGAGAAGAAAAACTGTTTCTAAGTTAAAATCTAAATTTTCTAAGTTAAAAATTTTAGGTTTTAACCCAAGAATGAGAGATTGTCCAAATAAAAATATGTCTAGCATCACTGTTTTTTTTTTGTTTTTTAAACTTCTGGGTAGATTTGCTCAAAAGGCCGTGTGTGAAATTGTGGGACGACATTTACAATTTTATTTTTACAGGCGACAAGTTTTTTCATATAGCAGATTAATTTTTCCACATATTGTAAATAGATCTAGTTGAGTATTGACAAAAAAAAAAGATCTAGTTGAGTTACTATTTTATTTAAATTATAATATGTATATTAGTTTGTATTAAATACATATTGTAATTTGTATTATTATTGACAATATATCAATAAATTTGTAAAATGTTATTGACACTCCAAAAATCTCATTTTACACTCTTGTATGTTTCTTTTGTAAATATAGAAAGTTTAGAGAGGATAGAATGAGAAATTTGGAGTTCCAATAACAATTCCCTAGTATTTATGCTAATTATAAATAGGTCAATGAGATTTTAAAGTAAACTATTGCACCTAAATTAAACAAAAATTACTAATTATACTACTACATAACAACTGGGATTACAGCTAGCAACCCTCTTATTAGATTTTTTATAGGGAGTTTTAACGAAAAGCTCACGGTACTGTTCACTTTAATGAAAAACCACATTTTTACACTAAAAGGTCAAATCTGATACTATTTACTTTATCCTTTATTTTGTCTTTATCGTTAAAACTCAAAGTTTTTAAACCCTTTTCATTAGTTTTTTTTTTTTGTATTTAGGAATAGGTGAACCCGACATCAAACAATGCATTGCAGTTTATGTTTTGCAGTTTAATTGATTCAGACTTTGCATGGCAATTTCTAAATTATTGTAATCGAATTAGTGATATCAAGTATTTAACTTTAGTACGAGCGGTTTTGACTCTTGTATAAAGCTAAAATCCAATATTGAATGTGACTAATTTAACTATATTAAACATAAACTGCAATACAGAGTCTAAATTACAAAAAGGAACTGCAATGTCGTGTATGATCTGGATTTCAATTAAAACATGTCCAAATTCAATCAGCCTTTCGTCCTCCATTGCAAACCCCTAACCCAATCAAGAAATAAACCCAAAAAAATCAACTTGCACATTCTAAAACAAGACCCAAATTGAAAAATATACTAATCTGATTTCAATTTGCCATCCTTTCTCCTTCCTCTGTCGCTTCCATCTTTGTGAACTCAAACAACCCCTTTCTTCTTCATCTCTCATTCATATTATGAACTCGATTGACAACTGCTTATCCAGCCTATAAATTAATGAAATTCAGTAGCGGATAGATGAGATACAACAGTCGACCGACAAATTTAGTGACAGCGAGAGTTTCGCGTCCACTGTTATCACCCAAGAGATTTTCATACATGGGCTTTCAAGTCTAGAATTAATGATCAAGCAAAATTTTAATTACAAAACCGAAAAAGGAAGCGAAAGAAATTTGATGCACTGAGTTGGAGAGACGCTAGTTTGAGAATAAGCAGACAAAGTCATTGCAGCACCAACCATTCCAATCACAAAAGCACTCGACTTCGGATTGATTTTTCCTTTTTGGCTATCAACTTAAGAGGAATGAGAGAATACATTTTTTTTTAAACTTTAATGCTGATGTAATTGAAAGATTTTAATGGATGATTAGAGTTCAAGAGCAACTGAGGTCAACTCTTTACTTATGAACAACCGTTGATATGGGCTTGAAACCCATGTGATATTCTTATGCCTAATTAACAAAAATATTTCATTGATTAGGTCCAAAACATAAATTTAACCATTGATATATGGTTATCCTTTAATACAATCAGGTGGCATCAGTCCCTTCCCTACTACACTTCTCTAAGAACTCTTTTTAAGGATTTTGGCATCTACGAGTGGGTATGAATTTCCTTCAATAGTGATATTTCCATCATGAAGAAGTTTGGAGGAGACTGAATTACATACGGAGATTTCTCTCTCAATTGACTACCCTTCAAGCTATTGAAGAAGAATACTCCCACATAATGAACAAATAAGTGTTAGCATGCCTTTTTATCATTTTGTTTTAGGCTAGAGAAGTAAATGCATATCCATTTTTGTTTGATTTGTCTTCCTTGTTCTTCATACTCACTCATAATTGGCAACTGTTGGACTTACACCACCATATTCTTTTTTTAATTCGAGTCTTTTACTTCTTTTATATATATATATATATATATATGGGATAGGATTAAAGGACAAATATCTTTACACTCCTTATTAGCCCTTGGATCTTTTTTTAATCTAATGGTCATAATTAAAAGTTAAGATTATTGTCATTAATTTAGTAGGGGAAGTGGCAATGACTTGGAATAAATTAACATAAACCTCTACTAAAAATTTAAAATATTTTGAAAAGAGTCATGTTTCACCTAAACCATTCATCTTCCTTGGCGAACATCATCTTCTTCATGCCATTGTGTTGTGCGTCAAATAAAAGTTGTTGCTGAGTCTGATTAGTTCTTTTGTTTATATTGTTGTGTATTTAATTAATATATATATATATATATATATGTATATGGTGTTGCGTGCATAATGGGAGAAAGGCTGCAGTGCCTTGTGTGAAGAAACACAACCAAAGGTTGCAGTGCCGTGTCTTTTGGCAAAAGGAGCATGGCTACAGTTCCATGTTTCTACTGCAATGCCGTGTCTTTTGGTAAAAGGAGCATGGTTGCAGTTCCATGTATCTTGGATGAAGAAGCACAACTAAGGGATGTGTCCCTTGCTATGAAATCAGAAAGTTATGACTTCTTGCAGTTTCGTGTCACTTACAATGAGATTTCATCTTTTTAGAAAATGAAAGATGCAGCAAGGTGCGACTTTGATTAAAAGATGCATCCATTTGGTGGTAATGATGCAGGAAAGAACATGACTTTTTATAAGCAGACTTTGATCCATCTTCAAAGTGTCACACCCCAAAACTAGAGATGTGAGATTAAGAGAAATAACTAGAACAAAGTGGTTGTTCAAGGGTGCAAAACAAATCTCATCTTAAGATTATGTCAACGAAAATTTAAATTCCACAATTCCATTAAACCAAACTACAAAAGTCAATTTAAAGAAATAGAGTTAAGGATCTCATGGTAAGACAGACTACAAAAGCGACCTGAACCGTAAAATTCACCGAAAATAGCTCGTTCAACCAAAACAAGTGAAAATTTCCAAATCCAAAGTAGACACATGAAACTAAGTTGTGTCAAAATTTCATTGATTTTCAAGTTTGGGAAGTATAGGAAAATTTTAAAACTAAAACAGGCATGCTGCTGTTTTCCTGTAAAAACAATTTCAGCAGCACCAAATTACTTTGCAAATAAAACTGTCTATATTCCAAAGAACAAAAATCTGAAATTTTGCAACATACCACTTAGGTAATAGACACCCACAGTTTTAAACATAACCAAGTTCATAGTGGTTCTTCAAGAGCCATTCATAAAACCTTATAGATTATAATGAGTTCACAAAAGACCTTCAGGGCTTCTAACAAGAAAACATTTTCAGGCCATTTGAGGAAAGTGTACATGAGCAAAACTATACAAGCCAAAAGACAAGTACTTACATATACATAGTTTTCATAGCCCAGGTAAGTAGAATCTCCAACCCACCGAAGTCGACATCATTTTAGTCTACTACGCAACAAAAGGATCTTTTACAGACAGAGACTAACTATACAAACACTTTGGCAGCTCACCCAAAATAAGTATACGTCTGGACTCCCTTCTACTAGCCCACACTAGAGCTGCCACTTGAAAATCAACTAGTCGACTCTACACACCTGAAAGTACATGTTTAGAAAAACGGGTGAGCATAAAATGCCCAATAGGGGTTTTAAAGTAAGTCCGTAGTCATTTAAAATTTATGGTGCACACCAGAAAGTAATAAGAGTGATTCAAAACCATTTATATTCATTACCACGAAATCCAACAATCTGAAATATGCTCTAAAAAAATGCTTGGAAGTAACATATGACAGAAAAACCAAAGTTTTAGAACATTAGTAGCGTTGATAACAACAATACAACACACAGGTTCAGAGTCACTTCCTTTTTCATAAGGATAAGAAAGCCATTATCATTTAAAGAAACACAAACACAACTAATCTCAAAGATTTTTTGTTATCCCCAAACAATTGACTAGCAGATTGGAAAGAACTGTGGTAATATCTGGGCAATTTACATATCACATGTATTTATCACTTTTATAACTCATTCTCACAACCCACACATGAAGCTCTCCCCGAGGAAACATTGGGTCATTGTGCCCATAATCAACAACTTCACGGGTCATTGTGCTCATTCATACATTTCTCAACATTCACATCTGCACAGGTATTATACTACTTTCCATCTACTTTTACAATTTGAACACTCGTATCAAGATGCTTCAAAATTCGACATTGAGTAAAATATCAGGCATGCACATCAAAACAAAATCTTGAAAAATCATTTCAATCACTTTAAACTCACCAAAGTTGTAGCAACGGAATTCGAATCATTAAGACCAACCATAGAGAAATATTTTCTTCACTTTTTTCACATAATCGAAAAAGAAAAACATTTTAGGTAAGCTTCAAATAATGCTCAAATGCCAACAATCCTTGATCAAGTAAAAATGAAAAACCCAAAATATTTTATTTTTTATTAAACTCCCCTACCTCAACACAATTTCTTGATATTCAACTCCCAGGGTGTTCGTCAACTTGTTCCGTAGTCACCTTGGCCTTCTCCTCCTTATCTATAAGTAAGAAAAATCATAAAATCATCACACATCACTTATACAAAATATCAGACAACGAACCCTAATTCAAGGTTAATTGGGGACTTTAATCAAACACTTGGTGCTCAACTCTAAAACTAGAACATGAACTATGATACTTTCATGTTTCCTACTCCCACCCAAACTAATTCATGAGTTATCAAACCAAATAACAATTAGATCCCAAAGGTAAGAAATAGATACCTTAAATGGAGACAAAAGAAAGATCCTCACTTGTTCTAATCTTCACAAATAAAGGAAAAGAAAGCTGATTTCCTCCTCTTCAATTTTCTTTTTGACAATTTAAGGGCTAAAAGGGATAAACCTTTTCATTCCTTTCGGCTAGAAGGGAAAGCAGCAAATATGAGGGGGTTTTCTAGAAACCCCATCCCCTTTTATTCCCTTTTTCAAACGATAGCTTTCCCTTTTCTTTTATTTTTATTTCTTTTCATTTAGTTCTTCTCTTTTCCAGCCAAAGCTTGGTCTCAAAAGTAAGAGAACTTTTAATGGCCACAAGTTACTGATAAGTGATTTGAATAAGCACTGAATAATTTATATAGCCTATTCTAGAATGTTAGTGCATACTGCTATGATATAGAGGATGAAATTTAAATTCTTAATGAGGTATAATAATATAAGATGTTAGAATAGCAGGAACATATACAAGTAACCTCACCTATATAAACATAAGGAGTGGTGCCGCTTCTACCAAGAAATTTTTTTGGGTTTTCTCTTGTAAATGTTTATGAAACCATGATGTAGCACATGGCCATAATAGTGCTAACTAGACACAAAATTTTCTCTAAGGAAGCTATAATATGATCATGTGTGTAGCCTTTTCCTGTTTTGACTGATAAATACATAGTTTAAGGTATGGAAAGGCCACTATTGTATTTGTAAGAACTTTGAGATACTTACACTAATTGAAGGTTAAAATTGAAAGATACCATTTTGTATGCATGAACATATGTGTATGATTAAAGTTAATGATAGAAAAAAAATTGATTCATTATAATATTTTTAGTTTTATATATTTTGAGATAGAGGAGAATTGTTACATGTTTCCAAGTATATGAGCATATATATATTATTGAAATAGGGAAGGATTGTTGTGTATTTCATTAATATGTATATATATATATATATGTATATGCATATGGTGTTGCGTGCATAATGGGAGAGAAATGCTGCAGTGCCTTGTGTGAAGAAACATAACCGTGTCTTTTGGCAAAAAGAGCATGGCTGCAGTTCCATGTTTCTGCTGCAATACCGTGTCTTTTGGTCAAAGGAGCATGGCTGCAGTTCCATGTATCTTGGATGAAGAAGCACAACTAAGGGATATGTCCCTTGCTATGAAATCAGAAAGTTATGACTTCATATAGTTCCATGTCACTAACAATGGGATTGCATCTTTTAAAAAAAAATGAAAGATGCAGCAGGGTGTGACTTTGATTAAAAGATGCATCCATTCGGTGGTAATGATGCAAGAAAGAACATGACTTTTTATAAGCACTTTGATCCATCTTCAAAGGGTACCATAGTATCTATAAATAGCCTATATTGGCTGCATATTTGGATATACAATTCTTCAAACAATATTTTCTTATCATCTTTCTCTCCATCAAAATTAATTTACAAACATGTATATTGTTGGTATATAAGTAGCATGTATCCCTGCAACACAATTTTAATATGCTAGTTACACAATATTAGTAGTAATATTGAGAAATTCCATAAGAGAACCAATTATATCTCCTGCAGTCAAAAGTAGCTAGGTGAAGCAATATTCAAATTCTTATGTCACTTTCTTAATAGCAATAATTACGTTGTAGTCAAAGTTGTTTCTGAATATTTAGTTGCTTATTTCGATAAAAAAAACTTGTTAATACTACCAAAATAAAGAATTCAAGAACAAATAGTCAAAATTATTCTCTTTTAAAAGCTAGTTGAAGAGCACCGTTCATCATGTGAGAGGCGCTATTGTTGCTTAACAGTGAACTCCCCAAAATGCCTATCACGTTGGTCTTCAGCAAGTGCTTTCCTCCTTTTTTTTTTTGTACAGTAAGATGATGATTTTACTACGCATTAGTCATCCTTCAATAGCTTTTTTCTTCTGTTTGAGAAGGGTAGAAAAGCCAGGGGCTTCCATTTTCTTCTAGATTCATGTACACGTGTTGGTCATCATGGGATGAGTGTCACTTTACTTGGCTCTTCTTCTACTTTTGCTTCTCTTTTGTTTTCTTTCTCAATACTCATCGTGATCTCCCGTTCTCTCTTAGAGAATTAAACCATCTATGTCGTTCTTGCTCAAAAACCTCAACCCATTGTATTTCCATCGGCATTTTAGGTTTGCATGCACGAATTCATTTCGTATTTGAACAAAATTTTAAACCAAGAAAGTGTTGGGACTGACAAGCGTGCTTCAAATCAGCATGTTATATAGCTCCGTTTGATTTAGATGAAGAATTCAATTGGATTTCTGGTGTGAGATTTGTTTGATTGTTCGTTTTTTCTTGAATTATTCTGCTGAAAATTAGTTGTGTTTTGGAAATTCTTTGAACATAATTGACATAGATTCTTCAATTTTTGTGGGTTTAGTTAGGATCCCTATTTTGAATTATGGAGGGGTTCACTTTCTTTTCTCTTTTTTTTTTCTTTTCTTTCTTTAATTTGATAGTTAAAGGGACTTGGTGCACCAAATAAGTGGGTGGGGCTTCCAAATGTACTTTTGCATGATGGAAAATATTTGTATATGATGTGTGTTACTTATATCCTTAATTTGGTTGTCAATGATGATATAAAGTGATGATATAAAGTTGTTGAATATGACAATACAAAGCACTCATAATGCGGTTAGGCATGTAAGATATTCCCTTTAAAGGTTGGAGAACTTTAAAAGGTGTGTTGAGAAGTGATAATAGACAACAAAGGGCTTGTGATTATGGATGTCCCTACTAGGTGGAATTCCACATTTTAATGTTGGAATCGACTTTGAAGTTTAATAAGGCTTTTGATAGATTGAAAGTAAATGATTGTCATTATCTGTCATACTTTGTTGAAGACAATCATGGTAATATGAGGGAGGAGCCACCTTCGATTGACTATTGAAGTGAGGTAGAGATACTTGCAACCTTTTTGAGACTTTTTTATGAAGTCACTTTAAAAATATGTTGTTTTAATACTTCAACAATACATACTATTTTTGGTGATTTGTTTAAGATCAAAAGTCTCTTGCATGAAAACAAAGATAATCCATTTTTGTCTATGATCTCCATGTTGATGCAAGAAAAATATGACAAATATTGGGGTTCAATTGACAATATGAATCAATATCTTTTTGTTGCACTTATGCTTGATCCTTGCTATAAATTGGATAAAGTTGTTGATTATGTTGAGATACTAATAGATGATGACAAAGAAAAAGTTCAAAGTGCCACAAATGCGATGAAGGATTTGTGGTGAAGGATTTGTTGATTGATTTTTAGAAGATTCATGAAAAGATGTCTTTCGGTACACAACAAAATACAAGTAATGGTGGTAGTTCTTAATGACGAGTGGAGGTATTTCATTAAGCATGACAGAAATCGAAAGAAAGTTGAAAGAAAAGATTGAAATGAGAAAAGCAAAAGGGAGTCCGGATTGTGCACAATAATGTGGATAGATATCTTTCCGATCCTTTGATATATATTGAATTGGTGGAGGGTGAATTGGGTTTCTAAGTATCCTATTTTGGCACGTGTTACAAGAGAATTTTAGCACAAGTGGACTGATAATTAATTCATACTGTAGTTATTTGAGTCCAAAAAATGGTGGAGACTTTGATTTGTACCCAAAATTGGCTTGGTTTATCCATGTTGCATTACTTCATGAGCCAACCATTGATGAGATTGCGTTTTGTGAAAGAGCCGAGAAAGGTAATTTTATTTATTGCATTTGATTTTGTTAGATTATTTTAAGTTAATTTTAATTACATGTTCATTCTTTTTTTATTTGTATGTAGTAATGGCAAGTTGAAATTTAAGAAAATGTGCTATGTTGTCCTTAGGCCGACTAAGCGTTAAGAAGCAAACTCTCATTCAAACTTGAGTGTTGAACTTGAGGACTTGAAGAGGTGTGGAAGACATGAAACTTTGCATGTTTATTTGAATTTATGATTTTAGTTGCAATGTTTATTTAAGCGTAGAAGAATTGAAATATGATGTTTATTTTAAGTTGGACTTTTAGAACACTTGAACTTTGTTTTTTTTTTTTTTTTTTTTTTTGTCCAAGTTGGACTTTTGGAAGACTTCAAACTTTGATGTTTATTTTAAGTTTTGGACTTTGGAAGATTTGATTCTAGTTAACTTTGAATGTTTGAGCTGTGATTTTAATGTCTTTGGTTTTAGATGGAATGCTTGTTTTATTGATTGTGTTGGAATTGTCGCTTCGAAGTTTTCTTTAAAAACAAAAAAACAAAAAAAGAAAGAACCAAACTGGAACCGAACTAATAAAAAACCGAACCAAAAGAAAACCAACGAAAAACCAAATTGAATAGTAATTCGATTCGGTTTCAGTTTTGGCAAAAAACCGAACCGAATTGTATCAAACCCACTTCTACATATTTCCACCAAGCCTAACTTTCTTTCCCTCTCTTCCCCCATGTGCCTCACTTATGGGATTTCTTGCAAAATGTCCATAAAAGAAAGAAACCTTTGTCACGCCCCGATCCCGACATACGTCCCGGATCGACATGTGACGTCATCAAGTATCTGTATGTCTAATATACGTTACCTCCAGGATATGGCAAAGTACAACTCGAGCATCGACACATAGTAATTTTTCGTGTACTTTATGGTTGCATCTAACCTCCTTGTTAGACTGCCTACGTACCATAAACAGGGATCAAGCCATTTGTAGTTCATCGTTTCACTACACTCGAACATTCATCACATAAATCACTATGTCTCAACAATATACCACAATGCATATCATGCAATTTTCAAAGAACAAACAACGAAGCACAATCATATTCTCGAACCATATTGATCAACAAGTCTAATCATAATGCCAACAATCACAACCAACGTCATTCCATAACCACATTATCAATGACATACAATACACCAAAATGCAGGGCTAGAGCGACACAGTTCGGCCAAAGCCTACATCTCTGAAAAATAGGATTTCGAACCACTCAACGAAATCCAACAACATCAAGTTCTAGACCACTCAACAAAACCAAAATACCAAATGAGATTTCGGGCCACTCAACAAAATCCAAATCAGGATACGATTCCGGATCACTTAACGGAATTGCAGAGTAAAATGTATTTCGAACCTTTCAATGGAATCCGAGTGGATACGATTCTAGACCACTCAACGAAATCACGGAGTGCAATGCATATCAAACCACTGAATGAAATCCAAGCTGGATACGATTTCGGA